CAGATTTTAGAGTCTTTATATAGCAACAGCAGCTAGCTGACCACTAGGAGCCAACTACTCCTGCTTGGAAGCAGTAACTTACTTTCTTATCTGAGCAGCCAAGTGATTTACACATAAAGCATAGATTTATACACCCAGAGAAATGTATCATCTCCAGAACAACAGTGCACTCCAATAAACGTTACATGTATTCTAAATACTCCTTCCAGGAAATCAAGACTTGTATGCACATGAGATAAATACTTACCTAGGGTGGGAAAAGTAGTGGATAACTTCTTGGTGTCTGCCAAAGCTTCTGTTTGTGTTTCAGGAACTTGACATTACCAGTGTCAGGAAGGTCAGACAGCCAGCTATGTAGAATGTGTGTGAAAGGACTAGTCTAGAAGCCAATGTCCTGTCATATTTTTAGTCCAACAACAACTTCAAAGATACAGTGTTCACTAGAATTATGTCATTGACGCTGAAATATTCATCCAGACTGGCAAGTTGCACAGGACCTAGAATTGACAGAGTTGTAATAGAGCAGGGTCACAGCAAATCATTTCGACATCATGGGCAGCTTGCCAGGTCTTGCCTAGGAGAACTTTTGCTTTCTACAGGCCTATTTTGAGCAGGTGCAAGGAGAGGTTTTTTTCCACTTCTGGAATCTTGGTCTTTCAGTCTTATGGATGTGGCACTGTATTACATCTTGGTCTTACCTATATATCTCATTACTGTAGGTGAATTTTCCATATGCAGACCGAACACTAGTATACCACAGAGGAATATTTTTCTCTATTTATGAACATTGGGGTATAGAGTTCAAAAAAAAACCTCAAACATTTTGACAATCAATAGACTTCCTTGATTTAGAGAATGCCAGCTCTGTAAAATTATTTGGTTTTGACTGAGCCTGAAGCCACTGCTCTCCTTTGCAGGTCATCCTGATTCACAAGTTACTCTCCACTTTGTATATGTTGGCAACAACTACCTGTGTTCATCATAATTTGCTCCTGACTGCCTTTTTTCACTACAAAAAAGAAATAGGGTAATAGAACCAATAGAAGGGGCAATAATAAGACCAATAGAAGGGAAACTTTGCTAATGACAGAGGAGCTTCAAGGTTGAAAGAATTTGTCCCACTGGGCAGAGGGAGTGTGCACAACAAGCTTTGTACAAACCAAGTCAGACAACAAAAAATGAGTAAGTCCAGCACAATGGTCACAGACGTATCACATGGTATCGTGCTCCATCTGCTGTGGTAAGCATGACAGAGACAAGGTGGGTCACTGGTAAGAAGCATCCTGTAATAGGTCATTCCCATGTAGATGCTGCAATTGTAAATTGCACATCCCCAGCAAACATGGATTTGTTTGCTCCTACTGTTTCAGGCACAGTGCTGAAGATTTGCTTTTCTGAGTGGAGAGATAGAGAGGAAGTAGAAAAATTGTGCTGGTCTTGCCTTCCATGTTCCCTTTGATTGCTGCTGGATGTGTTTTGCAGAAGCTCAGGAGAGCAAGTAAGAAAGAACCTTGCAAAGGGAGTAGAAGAAAAGCAAGCCTGGTAAGTCAGAAAGGAGAACTCACTAAAATGAGACAAAATCAAAAAATTAAGAATGTATTGCACTCACATACTGATAGTAATTTCAGCTTTTCATCAGTATACATTTTTTCATAGAAGACATTCTTAGGAATGCTACATGTCTTCTTGGCTCAGTGTATTGTTTATTATAGTTTAATCAGATTTGATAAGTGTTACCACACTTAATGGTTTTTTTTCTGCACATTCATGCAAGTTTCTAATACAGACCTTGTAACAAGGTTGACATTTCTGTGTTATTTCAGAATCTTTGAATATGTTATGATGATGAAATAAAAGGAGGATCAATGATCCAAAACAGTCATCAAGTCCTTTATTCATCAGATAGCAATACCAATAAATTATCTTATAAAAATATTGTAGTAGGCTTTCATAGCACTGTGTAGATTCAAATGACTACTTTGGTATGTATGTGAAGAAGTTGTTGGCCTTTACATCATCATTCATTACCCCTTCCTGCTCCCCATTCTTTCTTTTCCATGGCATTAGAGTTACAAGGAAAAAAGGAGAAAAAATTACCTTCCTCACATGCATAGCTACTCCCCAGGTGTGATATGAAGCTTCACACTGAAAACTGGTAGCCTTGCCAAGCCACAGAAATTAATGACGACTGATAAACTGGAGGCTTCTGTGAATATTGTAAAGATACATATTGACAGTATATTAGTGGAAAGCTGAGAGTTACATCTAGCCATGATATTTTAGGAAAAATCCTTAGCTGAGGGCCTCAGGAAAGAAATGTAAACAATAACTGTCTGCTGCTGTGGAATGCAACAGGTGCATCTGTGATTGGGGCATGTTGGTTGTTTCTAATTAATGGCCAATCACAGATGCAGCTGGCTTGGACTCTGAGAGTCACAAGTCTTTGTTATGCATTCCATTTTTGTTCTTTCTAGCTTTCTGATGAATCCTTTTCTCTCTATTGTTTTAGTATAGTTTTTAGTATAGCATTGTAATATAATATATATCATAATATAATAAACCAGCCTTCTGAAACATGGAGTCGAGATTCGCATCTCTCCACTCGTCCCGGGAGCACCCCACAAAGCATTCACCACAGTTAACATGTGCTCTTTGATCCTTTCAAAGATATCACTCACCCTTCTCTGTAAGTCTGTCTTTAAAACTGTCACCTGAAAAACACTCTTTTCAGAGATTCAGAGTGAACTCAGCAGAAAGGAAGAGATGAAGCACCGTGAACTGGGACAGAGTGGGACACTGTTTCTTCTAGTGTGTACTTAAAGAAATAGGGAAGTGCCAACAGGTCGTGTGCAGTACAGCTGAACAGAAGCCAGGATGCAGGCAAGGTAGTAGGCAAAGCACTTAATCCATGAAACAAAAAAAGGCTGGAAAAATGTGCCATTAATTTATTTAAACCTCCCTACCCTCCTTCACTGAAGCTGAATATCACTGTATTAAGTTATATTTACTGGATTTGACCCTATGCATTCATTTTGTCCTCTGCTTGTGATTCAGGTTGATTCTTCAGTGTTTTCCAGGGTCTTCTTGTTCCCCGTAACTCTTTAGGGGTTTCTGAGATGCAGTGTTTGACATTCTCGTGTTTGTGTTATCGAGACTGCTAATGCCCAGTTGCCAAGATATCATCAAACTTTCCATAAAAACACCAGATCACTTATAATTCTTATCCAGAATATACTTCTGAGATATTTGGCAAAACCAGATTTAATCCCATGTATTCCTTCATCTGTATAATGGTGACTGTTTATACGACTGCAGATCAGTTAAAATAATGCAGGTTTTCTCCAAGCTTCTCAGGACATGACTCCATCCAACATCATATATGGCAGATGAAGCACCAAGAGCTTTGGTTTGTGAACTCCTTAAGAACTCAGAACGACCACATAAGTCTTTGGATCAGTGTTTGAACAGCACAAAAACAATTTCTATAATATGTCTCCAGGACAGAAAAGGGAACATGGATGGACAGAAAGCGTAGAAGCAGCAAAACAAAATAGAACAATGGCAGGTTTTGACAGTCTTGCAACATGACATGTTTTGCAATGCAGAATCATCCATTCTGATTTTGGCACAATATTATTTTGGCACATAATATTATTTGAGTAAAATTCCAATCATAAAAGCGCAATTTAATGTCAGATAATTTACAGTAAAGCATTTTAATCTGAATGTAAGACATTATAAAATTAATCAACTCAGAGTAACCCACAACAGTTTTCAAATGTAGGCACAATCCAATGACTTCAGAACCAAGCACACTTTGAGATTTATTTGTCCCTAACTCTTTGTAGCCCTGTAACAGCTTTATTAGTTTTATACTATCACATATTTCTGAGCAAACCAACAGACTCAAAAGGAAAATACTCAGAAAAGATTTCATGTTCAGATATGGCAAAGAGGTGACACACTTGTAACAGACAAAATTACAGTTCAGTTGTGTGTTAAGTACCTGCATAGGAATATATTTGGGTTTTACTACTGTGTGTTCATATAGTGCACTATGATGGTGCTCATTCATCAGCCAATAAGCTGCTACTGCCATCTACTGGAAAAATTATTAAAACACAAAAATTACATTATACTGTCAGCAAGGGATCTGGAGTACAATATCCTTTCTGGAAATAAATTCTCAACAAGTTATTGCATATGAAAACTGCTTCAAGGACATTATCAGGGACTGTTACCTTAGATCCAGATACATTACAGGTATGAAAGTATAAATGAAAGAATTTTAGCTTAGTGCAATTTCAGAACTGTTTTTAAAGTTTGCTTCTAAAATACCAAGTGTTTGTAACTGCTTTCATGCCCATGCTTTCCCCAATGCAGCTGTGCTGACTGCTACTCTGTTGCCTATCATCCCTGTGTTTCCACTTGACTTGTGGCACTCAGAATCTAAATTTATACACTGAAATGCTGCAAGATCTTAAGTATCTCATGTTACAGCAGTCCCAAGGAAATCAAGTTATTAATTTACTAGTTTCATGACACTCATAAATTGGTTTCTTTCTAGCTATAAGTGGAAATTTTCCGGCTATCAGTTTTACACATAAGGATCTGATTTTAAATTTTTAATACTATTATTATTATTATTTTTCAAGATACACTTTCCATTCTCTGATTAGGTTTTTAACCAGAACTTTCGTTTTGCTTGAGATAAAAAAAAACAAACAACAACCAAGTGTCTTGACATGGCACTGTCTGATAACTAACTGGAAAAAAAGATCAGCATCTGCTGAGTAACCACCACTACTTACTACAGCATTTAAGGGTGTTCCTCACAAAGGTTCAATCCTGCCTGATCTTTATTCATTATCCCAATAAACACCAGAAACACCATAAGGTTAAATGCAGTGGCATGAAATTATTTCATCTGCAAACAAAAGACACTGAACTCAGCACACCACTCAGAGTTCAGATTACAGATTTAATGCTGCACACTTCAATTAAGGCAGTGCTGACAGGCAAAGTGTATTAACACTTCTGGTAATGATGTCAACACTGAGCTAAACATGGTGTCCTTTTGGCTTGGATGGGAGCATATGGCTTGAGCAGACATCAGAAAAACACCTCTCTCACATGGAAGATGAGATTGTCACTACTCACAAATCACTGTAGCTGTGCTTGCTAGATAGAAGGTGCAGCAGTTCTGCAGAGTAGAATGGTGAAACTTGCGTGAAGAAGCAGAAATGGCAGACATTTATTTGAACCTACTTTGGATTTCTTGATTGTTGCACAACACAGGATACCTGTAAAACATTATTACTGAGAATTAAGAAATTAATTTATGTGACTTTACTTTTCAAATGTTACAATTTTTCAAGATAAGAATAGTGTTCATCAAGTCTAGATTCCTACATTTACAGCAGAAAATCCTTGCCACAAGGACCACATGATCCAGGCATTTTTAGCGTAACTGATTCTAGGGTGACATTTGGTTCTAACCACCTATTTCACAATTTCAGTAAGAAATATTTTTCCCTTCCCATTCTATCTTGAAGCAGTATGACACAAAATATCTTATGACCTGCTTTAATTTCTTATAAATAGCCTTAATTAGCCTACAGCTTCTGTCAAATTACTTCAAAAAGGGAGTAAAAACTGTGGTATGCTGCTGATTTGGATAACTAACTCATTTGGATTTTATCTAGTAGAAATATTTAGAAAAAAATGCGTTAAAATACTCCAGTTATACCACTCCTTTCTGGTTTTTTTACACTTCACTCTTCAAAATGTATTCAGTTCTTTAAGCAATTTAATAAATTCTGACTTCCTGTTCATCAAAGTATATAGAATTTCATTAGCGGTTATCAAAGTAGAGTATTATCTCTGGCAGGCAACTGAAATTGCCAAAGAACTCAAGAGAGAAAATAAGAATGAAAAGATATAAGGATTTTATTGATTTATATTTACATATATCGACACATACATATACATATAAAATATGTATGCACATACTAGAACTGAAGTCAGAATTTAATGGAAATTGGTGAATTCTAATTTCCTGTATAATTTCAGTCATGAAATTCAGATTTTTAAGAGATTTTTAGATGAATTAGGCATACTAAACTTACAGAAATTAAAAAAAAAATAGAAAAAGAAAGGAAAAAAACCATCCCACATTGATTTTTAACTAATTCTTTACCACAGTGGAGAATACATATCTGAACTGAGAATTAGTGCCCAACATTCCAGATTTCTTTCTCTCTAGACACCCAACACAACACAGTAAGCTAAACACTTGGCTTTGCAACTGGAAGAAGACTTTAGAATGCTAAAATTACTTCTCAAGTCTCTAAATTATTTTTTGCACTGTATCACTGACCTGCAAAAACATCCCTTTTTATTGAAATGAAGGTTTAAATCAGTTGAGTCAAGGAAATATATTGATACTTAAATGAGGAAAGACCAAGAGAGCTGGGATTTAGTTTAGCAGAGAAGGCTCAAGGGAGATCTTATCAAGTGTTTATGTATATCTGAATGGTGTATAGAATCACAGAATGGCTTGGGTTGGCTGAGACCTTAAAGATCACCTGATTCCAAGCCCACTGCCTTGGGCAGGGATATCACCCACAAGATCAGGTGTCGCAGGGCCCCACCCAATCTGTCCTCCAACACTTCCTGCAATAGGGCATTGACAACTTCTGTGAGCAACCTCCTCTAGTGCTTTACCACCCTTTGAGTAAATAATTTCTTCCTAACATTTAGTCTAAACCTGTCCTCTTTTAGTCTAAAGCCATTGCCCCTTGTCCTGTTACTGGCTGCCTGTATAGAAACACAGAGTCATAGAACCATAGAATGATTTGGGTTGAATGGAACCTTCAGAGATCCAATACCACTCTGCCAATGGAAGGGTCTCTCTTACCAGAGCTGCGAGCTCAAAGTCTTGTCTTTCTCTATCTTTCTTATTACCCCCTTTATATATTGAAAGGTTTCCCTGGAACTTTTTCTTCTCCAGGCTGAACAACTTCTTTCAGCTCTTTTTTTTTTTTTTTTTTTTTTTTTTTTTTTTTTTTTTTCCCCACAGGAGAGGTGTTCCATCATCCCTCTAATAATTTTCATGCCCTCTTCTGGACCTGCTCCAATAGATCCATGTCTTTCTTGTATTGAGGACTCCAGAAGTGGGTGAAGTAATCGAGTGGGGTCTTATGAGACCAGAGCGGAGGGGCAGGACCACCCCCTCAACCTGCTAGCCGTGCTGCTTTTGATGCAGACAAAGACATGGCTGGCTTTCTGGTCTGCAAGTGCACATTGCTGGGTCACGTCCTACTTTTCATCTACCAGTATCTATCCTCAAATCCTTCTTCACAGACCTGCTCTCAATCCCTTCATTCTCCAGTCTGTGTTGATATTGAGGAATGCCCACACCAAGTTGTACGACTTGGCCTTGTTGAACTTCGTGAGGTTCACAGAGGCCCACTGCTCAAGCCTGTCAGGGTACCTCTGGATGGGATCCCTTCCCTCCTGCATTAACTGCAGCACTCAGCTTGGTGTCATCTGCAAAACTGGTGAGTGAGAATCCCACTGTATATAAAGCCAGACTCTTCTCAGTGGTATCCAGTGGAAGGACAACAGGTAATGGGCATAAACTGAAATTCAGGAAACACCATTTAAACATAAGAAAAAAACCCCTCATTGTTATGGTGAGGTCAAACACTGGATAAGGTTGCACAGAGTTTCCATCCTTGGAGATGTTCAGAAATGACCAGACAAGGTATTAAGGAACTTGCTTTAGCCAACCATGCCTTGAACCAGGGGGGAACATGGCCTCAAGAGATCCCTTCCTTGACATGCAAGAAACTGCCTCACACAAAGCAAGAACTGGCTCCTAGTCTGGTATGGCAAACCTCAGAAACAGACACAAGAGTGAATTCCATTCACTTACACAATCTTCAAAGTTGCTACACTTTGTAGCATGATTTTATGATTATGTAGTGTCAGATAGTTTTAGATGCCCTTAATCTTCCTGTCTTTCTTTTTCCAACCCATATTGGTAATTGTTTCCTGGAACATGAGATGTCAGATCAAAACATTTTAATGCATTTGAAACTGAGGTAACACATTTGCAGCTGTTTTAATGCTAATATTTCCAATCCTCAGATTTTTTCAAAAACATTTTGTAGACTTTTTAAACCATACCCATTATCTTCCAATTCTCTCTTTTTCATCTGGTCAATAAATCTGGGGTTAGGATCTTCTTAATTTTCCCCCTAAATTAGATTCTTAAGAGGAAAATGTAGTCTTTTATCTTGAATACAGTGTATTTTCTAGCTTTACTCCATTCAGAAATTGTTTTCCTGTAGGCCTTCCACAGGAAGAAATTCTTTGGGGCACATTTTTCAAAGGCAAAAACAGCAGGTAAGAAATCGATCATCAAGAAAAAGTATTGTCCACTGGGTCCCACTTTCCAGCAATGCCTTTGGAAATTTCCTTGCATACACTTGCATGAGACCTGCAAATGAATGTTAGAATAACAGACAGAGATTAATTTCTAATGGCTATGCATCATTCTTGATGGCTGAACAAAAAATTAAGCACATAGGAAATTAGCACTTCATGAACTGCAGCTGTCCTGAGCAGAGGGAACATGAGCACAACCAACAGCCAGTTATTTTGGGGCTAAGATAACTGACATTAGAATGAGATGTTCAGATGGTGAAAATTCTGGTACTTAGTACTGTGTTTGAATCTCTTCATTGGCAGTATAATGAATCTGTTCCTTTTTTTTGCCATAATTTATTTAAAGTAGATAATGTGTTGCCTGCAATTAAAAATTTCTGACTGTTATAGACAAACGGTCTATACTGCTTTGAAAAACCTAGCATTTAGCACTTAGTTCAGAACTGTGTATGCTTGCAAAAACACATTTCCACCATGAAAAAAAAAAATCTTCCCAATGCATAGAAATGCATTACAATGTCTGTTTTAACATAATGAGTTCTCCTATGTATTTGTTGGAGAAATCCTACTAAAGATAATATAAACAATCCCAGACATTATCATATTAAAACTATATTTAAAGATAAACTTTTGAACACTGGCAGAACATCAAAATACTTTCTCCTGTGCTTCCTTCACAGAACAAGCATTAATTTATTTTAAATCTGCAATATTTGTACAACTATGATTAATGAAAAAAATCCCACTGAACAGAATATTATTGGGCGGCTTCCAGCCGGGGTATGCCCGGTGGGCTGCCTTGGCCAGGATAGCTCAGTGGTGCTCAGCACAGCATGTCTGAGCTCCCAAGCAGCTGCTAGCTGCAGGAAACCTAAGTAAGCTCACGTGATATCAGCTCTTAGTGGTTTCAGCTCTTTAGCTTGCTAGGTGCCGCAGCAGATGCCGGGAGAGAGAGGAGAAGCGCTGTGTAAGGTTCCAAAGAATTCTTTATTGGGGTCTTCCACGAAGGTTCTCAGTGACAGCTCTTCTACTGAACTGGGCCGAATTAGGGGTTTATAAACCTAATAAACCTACAGGGGTTTTGGAAATTGTCCAACAGTAAGGGTCAATGTAAAGTCACCTAGAGACTTACAGAGAGATAAGCAGGGTCTGAAGGTGGAAGAGAGGGGCTTCTAAGGTCCAGTCATCATGCTAGCTCAGGCTTCTGACCACCAAGGAGCCATTGCAGGCCCTGGGCCTGCTACAGAACATGGATTAGACACATTAACCCTTCAGTGTATGTGCAGAATGTAATTTCTACACATATGCAGGAGAATTATTTTTCTGAGTCAATCTAGAAAAAAAAAGAGAACTCTGCATAACACCACTTTCTTTTCTTGTGAATCTTGTTTTGCCAATCAGCAACTTTCAACTGCTACTCAAAATCCTCTTTTAACTGTTTTATTGCAGGGACTTCTTAGCAGCTTTATATGAAGTGGGGTTTGTTTTTAATAGGATCCATCAAATAGGATTTGGATGTCAAAAAGATTTTGGGAAAGTAACGTTTCATTTCCCCCTGGTTAATGTCCAGTTGAAGGCACTCTGGGAATTAACTATACTATTTTAAACTTGTGAAAGTAGCTTTTGTTTTAACAAACTTGTATTGCAAAATTATGTAGTGGTAGAGATAAGTTACAGTTCTCTCTATGTCTAAATAATATTAATTTGAAAAATATTTATGATCTGCAAATTTCTTAGTTTTCATGTCCATTAGTATGATGAACTATGGAAACATTGAACATTAAAAAAAAATTCTTGGATTAGCATTTCCACTGATGAAAAATCAGATGGGCTGCATTACACAATTGCT